ATATATATATATATATATATATATGGTATTTAGATAATGTGTTCCGGATATATTATACGTTACTTTTTATTATTATAATATAAATGTCATACCCCTTCCCATCACTCATTTAGGTGAAGTTGTCAGTAAGAATGTTTGTCATTTTGGTAACAGAAAAGTTTAAAAGAGCATGGTTCACATTGTATGACTGCGTTTGATAGGTGGCATTGTGTAAATACTTGTCTTGTCTTTTATGTGTTTTTACTACTGCTGTAATATGTGAATGTATAAATACATTTTTTTTTTATCTTCATTTTTTATCGTACATTTCTGCAGACTGATCCTTTATCTTCTTTCTGGTCAGAAAATGAGGTTGATATGAAACTTGAAATATGTAGAAATCATATCAAGTTTTATTATGGAACAGCATCACTCCGCCGTCACACAAACATCCCCAAGAAGTCCAGATATGAGTCAATATGCACTTAAGCAATCTTAAAAACTTGTGTTCTGGTATAAAGAGTGGGTGTGGTTCTGATTATCGGCACATTGTGTCTGAAATGCTAACAGTCTCAGAAACAAGTGGCTGCCTTCAGTCTTAAAGCTACAAATGTCTCTTTTGTGGACATTTGTGGGTCCAAAGGCGATCAAAGAGGTAAATGTTGCATTTCAGTGACCATGAAATCTGTAAGGGGGCTTCGGTAATCTGCAAATCACAGCATATTGGCCTTACGATCACAAATGTTGAGTTGAATTTGCATGATTTTTCTGCGATTAATCGCATTGTTATGCGCAAAGTTCAATAATGAATTCAAAAGTAGTGTATTGCGCACTTTTATTTTAACAGTACTGCTATATGAACAAAAGTGCAATAACATTTGGTTTGCAAACACTTGAAATAAATAAGGTGCTTTAGAACAGCAGTCTTCCCTTTACACAGCAGCAGTTATAATACAGTTATAATGATTCTGATAATAGATATTCAGCCGGTGTTCACAACTTTATCTTCATGTGTGTAATAGATGCAATTTGAAATTTACACCTTGAAAACTGCAAACCTATCTACGTCATGTTTTTTTCCTTTTTTTTATGTTTGATAAATTCTCAGTAGCGATAACTAAATGATATGCTTATTATACATATTACAAACAAAAACACTTTAAAAACTCTAGAAAAATAATTTAAATGAATGATTTATTTTTTGCTTTTTTTGGAATTTTGGTCAGACACATATGCAACGCTGACTACCGTAATATGTGTGGTATTTGTTATAAATGTACGTTGGTACATAGAGGGTGATAAGAAGCTGTACATGGAGGGACTTGGGACCCAGGGGAATGTAGGTGAAGCAAGGGAACCTGGAGGGAGTCTGTACCGTGGCAGTAACCTGCATGAGGAAGTTTTGCTAATAAAGAATTGCAGTTAAGAGCAGTTTGTTCTAACGTGCGGCAGCATCAGAAGGAAGAGAAGGAAGGGACGTCACACAAACAGCTGTTCACCTCTGGCTGCCCGGTTCTTGTGTTAAAAATGTCCGCTTCATAAAAAATTTAAAACTGCTGTAATATCACGTTAACTTGCCCAGCACTTAGTTGCCCTAGCACTTATTTTTTAAATATATATATATATATATATATATATATATATATATATATATATATACACACACACACAAATAATTCCAATTGTGATACTTCCAGCATCCTTATAATCTATCTCACATCAGGTAAAGCATGTAGTAACATGGTGTTTTGAGCCTTAAAATGTATTCATATGATTTGTTTTCTATGTAAGTAACAGCCATAAATCATACATTAATAGACAGAATGATAGCGAATACTAATTGTTAATACTTCACGGGCAACATCAAATTTGCGTTCTGGTAAAATAAATAAACAGCAGCGGGCGATCAACCAGGTGTCATAGTGGTCATAGTGAAATGAAAAAAACATTTTGAAGTATTTTAAAGTAAAACCACTATGAAGCATATCCGATTGAACATTTAGTAAATTACATTTCGAGTCTTTTTCAAAGTCGCCAAAGTCTGAACTTTTCAAATCCTTCACATAACACTACTCTCTACTCGTTAATATGAAAATAGGGTCAGATAAGAAGGCTTGTTTGGTCAGTGTGAATAGAGACGTAGTGTGTTGATATGGTTCTCAGCAGGCAGCAGCTGGTTCTTACCCTGGCTGTGACATGTGGAGACGGGGTGATCCTCAGGCCATGGAGGAGGTGACACTGGGAAAACTGGAAACTGTGGGGCCACACAAAGAGAAGAAAAAGAAGACATGATGAGACATCTCAGATAAGTGTGATAGAATTAGAAGAGCTAATATATACTGTATATATATATAGATATATATAGTGCTGCAGAAAATATACATCATATATATATATATATGTAGTGCTGCAGAAAAGTCCATCCATCCATCCATTTTCCTCCGCTTATCCGGGGTCGGGTCGCG